ATCTGCCCATCACAAGAAAAGATATTTCACTTTTTGTGGTTTTACAACATAGGGTCTATGGGGAATCTCCCCGACCTAGAAGTCACATTTTCAAAGAAAATTAAATTTTTAAAGTTGATAAACTCTTTTCAAAACCACATTTCTAAATGTAATTTTACATGTAGATTCCAAATATGACATCAGTTTGACTGAATTGTGAATTTTTAATGACGTAAATCAAGATTATTTCTACTCGCATCTGGGATATTTAGCCTAAAGTGATTTTACTTAACTTGTTTTTGTTACTTAAAATACTTTAGAATTATGTTATACTTTGCTTTATAATGTTGACCATTGTGGATGCTATTAGGGGAGGAATATGCTCATTTTTATACAGATGTGTTACATAATTTTAAGTTGCTACAAATATTTATCCTTTGTGTATTTTGTATTTATGGCCGAGTTGAGGTGAATGCGGGACGCATTTAGACGTTGTCCGCGTGGATGTAACATGGCCATTTTCATATTTTTATATTTCTCGCTTTTCATATTGATCAGTCCTATATATTTCCCTTATTCTCATTTTAACAGGTCCCTAGGTTACTACCGTATCATGTTTTAATCCTCTTGTTTGCCATGCCTTACCCTTTCACTATATTTTGTTTCAAACCAGTTTTAGCTTTTCATGTTATATGTTCAATGTTGTTTTGTAACTTCCATATATGGAAAATATTCACTCACTTGAGTTTGGGTGTTGGCCCAGTCTCAGTTGTTGCTTATACATAGACTGCACAGAACATGATTTTGAAGAATTGAAATAGATTTGTTTTATCGTATTTTATATTACTTTTCTGTTGACTTTTATATTATCGCCACCCACGGCCTTAGCCCCGGACATTACAGGTTTATTTCCAATTTTAATATTTAGCATTTTTATTTCAGATTCTTTTAATTTGTGTGGATGAAAGATCGTGAATTTTGATTTTTCTATATAAAGCGATAATTTATTTGCACAAAGCCATTCATCAAGATATTCTAATTCAGAGTTGACATGATGAGAGTACTTAGGTTTTTATGTGAGCAGGGAAGGTTTGTATCATCAGCAAAGATAACAAATTTAAACATAGAAGATGTCGTAACAATGTCATTAAATAAGAAACAAAATAGGTACAAGGATAGAGCCCTGTGGAATCTTGCAGGTGACTGTATTGATTTTGGAAGTCTTGTCATTATTTTCTGTTTTCCGAGTTCAATTTGAAAGATAGGTAATGAACCACTTATGTGCATTTCCCCTGATTCCAAAAAGTATAATTTTTGAAGAAGTATTTCATGATTAACCGTATCAAATGCTTTAGACAAGTCGATGAAAATAGCAATATTGAGGTCTTTATTTTCAATTGACTGGATTAATGGACTGAAGCTAGTAATAGCCATATATGTAGATCTATTTTTCCTAAAGCCAAATTGCTGTTCACAGAAGATATTTTATTTTTCTAGAAAATCTATAAGTCGATTTGCCATTACTCGATAATACTGATAATAAGGAAATTGGCCTGTAGTTATTGAATTTAGTTTCATCCTCCTTTTTAAATATAGGCTTGACCTTTGCTTTTTTAGTGAGTCTGGAAATGTTGCTGTTGAAAGAGATAGGTTGCATATATATGTCAGAGGTATAATTAAATTATCCTTGGCTGTTTTTATTGCAATTGGTTTGATTTGATCTTGACCAGGGCTTTTGTCTTCAAGTTCTTGACATATAGAATTTTTCCTAAAAATAGCAAGGCCTGAAGGTCAAATTCCCACTGATAGCATTAGCATTGGTCTCTTATATGTCATACAATTAATATTTTTTCTTTTGCAAGAATATAATCTATACTCCTCTAAATTGCCACAACTTCTTAGCACACAAAGATGCCCTCATCTCTCCATGCCATTCATGGCTCAGCTCTGAGTCATGGATTACTTAGGCGATGAAAAGCAGCCCATTGGCAATTTTTTCTCGAAGTTTTGCAATATCTAGTGAAGGAATGGTGAGCACAGATGCTCCTGAGATAGTTCCAAAAGAAAAAGTCACAACAAATAAAGTCAGGAGAACTTCCATTGCCAATTAGCTCTTGTACTGATTTTTGCAATTTCTGAAACTCGGTCCAGGGCCGATTTTGACCCACTGTGTAAATGGAAGGATTTCTCACGCAACCATGACAACATGTGAATGAATGACATATGATTGCAAAGAGGGGGGGGGGCGTGGCTTTGTACATTGAATTAAATTGATGTAGTCATCACTAGTTTTGTGATTTTACGAGATAACTGCTTCTTGCGTTTTTTATACGCCCTGTATATTGACAAAAACACTTGGGAATCATCGAGACTGAAACTGTCATGACCCCTCTTATATGACATGTCAATTGGTAATTCATTAGTGATTGTAATTTCATTAAAAAGAGACGGAAATTAGTACATATGTATTTAGGTATATCACGATTCGCATATACTAAATAGGTATTGATACATTTATTGCCATTTCCTATAGTTCTATCACACAGTGTAATAACACATACCACAAAAGTGGTCTTAAAAGATTAAGGGTGGAGGTTCAATTCAAAAAAAGATATCGATACTTGTAAATTACACCCCGAATTTGAGTTAAGTCATATTGAAAATTATAACGAATAATTAATATTGTCAACAAGTATGCGGAAAACGCCAACCTCTAATATTGGAATAACCTTCTCGATATGGTGGAATCTTGGTACATTTGCTTGGACAGGAGTTTGAGACGGAAACAGTAGTATATACTCGTGTGTGCTTGAGTTTACATCTTGGAATATATTTTTCCGGACGTTGATATTTTCCTTGCACTAATCCAAAGTGGATTTAAACTATTATAGTCACACATTAAATAAACTTTTAATTGTCTAATTTTGCCAATTCTTTCACTACTCTTATCTTATTTACATTTATCAACAAAGTTGCCCCACAACTTTCCGATGCATTTTAATCAGAAATGGGGAACGTCATTAACTCCTTCATATCATATGGTGACAATTTTATTGGTACGCTTGTATATTATTAATTAAAATTATAATGAAAATTGGCAGGACTATATATTCAAAATGAGATATGAATCAATGTACGATAGCATAGCACGCAAATGTAAGGTTAATAGTTTAAATCGCACCCTATCAATGATGTGATCATTTTTGGAGCTGTCTATGCTGCCACAATGTTTGGTACGGCAACACTTAACATCGCACTCTTGCTGTTTTGGAGCCATTTTGGTAAGTCGATCAACATCTTTAAATTTATTATATATAAAGTATATACTGTATCATTATGGTAATATAGTTAATGCAATGATTTCCGCTTTTAGATATAATATCCTTATCCATAGAGTATGGTTTGAGCGACAGGAGTATATAATATGACTTAAAAATTATGATTCGTCTTCAGATGATACTGGGACTTCTTCATTAAATGATAACACAACAAATGGTAAAACAATCGCGTCAGGTCAAATCTCTTCTCCCATAACACTTACATCTACAGGTACAAGCGATCAAACCAATGTTACAAATGGCTCACCATTAATAAATGGGAATGACTCGGCCAAATCACCAATTCAAACATATACACAAATCAATAGTGAAAGTGACAATTCGTCTACTGAAACAATGGCAAATAAGTGTGCTTCGACAGAAAACGAAACAGGTATTCTTTACGATAACTGTATTCAAAACTTTACTTATAATTAATACGGTATGATAATACAGTATAGTTTTTTCTGATTTAGTTACAGGGTGACAGAAAAAGTGCAGCCCTCTAATTGTAAAATCACTGTCTAATTAATGATGGAATTACGAAAAAATTGATTTGTCATATAATTTAAATAAATGCATATTTATTTATTAAAACATACACCGTATTAAAACATCAAAGGTTTCAAAACTACAGAACTGTAGATATTTCTGTTATTAGATTGTGGACATACATTCTGTTTGAATGGAAGTAGTGGATGTTTCTCATCACCTGGATACGATAACTGTGGCTATGAACATAATCAGCACCTGTCCTGGCTGATCAACGTTGATTCCAATATGGTGAGTTCGTTACAAAGAAACACAAAATGAAAATATTATAAAAATGCATTTACTAACCACACTATACTGTCCATTGGATTAAAAAACGTTATAATGAGATTTTTTGATATGCAAATGTTTTAAACGTCACCAAAAATCGTCAGTTATGACGAGTGCTTGATTATCAATAATGCCAAAATGTGGAACAAGTCTGTTGCACACCTTAATATTTCCTCTGCTTAGATATATTAGAAATTCGATTAAATTTCATTGTGTCTAGTGTGTTCAATGTCAATACTATCTCAGTATGACGATAATGTGATGTTATGTTAACCGAATAAACACAGGAAGTCCTCTTTTTCTTGTGATAGACTTTTTTGCCAAAACTAAACTTTCGAGTTTACCTTACTGTGCCCTGGAAAATGTCCTAACCTTATAAATCTAAACTTACATTTATTTAGATCTTACCCGTCTCGTGTTAGGACATGTGATCATAAATATTCTGAACTTACCTTGTATTCGCGAATGCAACTAACGCCTGTCGGCTAGCGGATTAATTAACTATTAATGACCAACTCATTAAAATATGAATGGAATAGTGGCAGGTACTATTCATATTTAAATTGGTTACCCATAAAATAATAGGTCAATAATCCCGGTAGTCGACAGGCGTTAGTTGCATTTGCGAATGTTAAATGGTTTCCATATTGTGTAATGTCATGTTATGTCTATCATGGCCATCGTCTTACAAACCGCTTGATAATCAATTGCATGTCCCGCTCCATGTAAAGATAAACTCAACCAATTGAAAAGCCAATATGATTAAACGTGCTTGGACCAAATTCACATCTATGCCCTGTGCATTTAAACAATATTGCATTATTTTTCAGGTGGTCAATCTATCATTCCATGATTTTGATTTTGAGTATCACCCAAGCTGTGAATTCGACCATATTAGATTATCGGATGCATATGGAATAATCGGACCATTGTTGTGCAATAAAAGGGCGCCGTATTCAATTAACTCTAGAGATAACTGGATGCTTGTGGAATTGTACACTGATGGAGAGTTAACGAGACAAGGGTTTTATGCATCATATGAGGCTACAGACAAAAATGAGATATGTAAGGAGATTCACAATATCGATATAATCGTTTATAGAGGTCCCGAATACAAAGTCTGGAAGCATGTTTTTATCATTCAGTTAGCTATTTGTTATGACTTCAAAGGTTGTTCTAGAGATTTTTTCAAATGAAATGAAAATTTCCTTAATCATTAAATATTCGACTAAACAGTGCAAAACATAGTTATTATCTTTTTAGCACCATTGCAAGAATTGAACAAAGCTCAGATTATTTCAATAATAAAATTTCATATCTAATGTGTTATTTAAATGTTTCAACTTATTAAAAATGACATCGCCTAGGTGGCAAACATGTTTTTTCTATTTCAGTGATTTTAAACCTCTGAAATAAGCCAATGTTAATTGTCTAACTTGGTTGAAAAAATTATAAAATTATGTTTCATTGGTTTTCACGAAAACTAACATTCTGAAATGTATTTTCTCTGAACCATTTTCATGCATGGATGAGTTCATTTCTCGCTCCAATATCTTGTTCGTTTAACAACATTTTAGGATATGAATGCTATGATTTTTTAAAGTATCGCTTATCAAAATTGTGATCTCACATATCACACTTTGATAACATTGAATAAGACTACAATGTAAGCCTCGGTGGTTTAAACTTTATATGGGGCCTTTAACGGTAACATTACTACGCCCGCTCTACTTCTCATTTCAAAAGACAAAATAACCCAATCTGCAGTAGTTTACCCCGGTACTTGTATAGTTGATATGTTAATTAATAACAGTACACAGTAAGAAAATTCAAAACCACGAAATATTTTGAATCCATGCATGTTTTAAAATTTAACATGTTTTAATATACATTACAGTGTCCGAGACTACGATTCCTCAAGCGAACACAGATGCTCCCAATCCGCCATTAGATCTTACTTTGATTACGTGTGAAGGGACATCCGACACTGTATATTTGGATGGTCTTTCTGGTGACTTTACATCGCCAGGGTACATGCCTAATGATCCAGACGCTACGTATCCAAACTCTGTTGACTGTAGTTTTTTCATAAATGCTACTGAAGGAATGGTGAGTACACACTTAGGGGGGGGGGGGGTCAGATTTTCCCCCGGTACTTTTCAGCTATGAAAAGAAAATTTTGCAACGGTAGTAGCTTATAGCTGCAGAACAGATAGAAGACTACGTTTGGTGCAAACATCGAGGTGATCGGGGATATGATGACTGATAGGTTGTTGTTGTTGTTGATAGGTGGGGGTCGTTGGACCTTGCGTTCTTTTTCAGAAATCACTTTCAAACAAGACATATCACAAGGTAATCGATTTTTATTGAATGAGATAAATTATTTCTCAAAAACTGGTGGTCAAATATCCCTATTTTGGAGGTCGGGAACATGTTTCCCAGATGTCTGCAAAATATTATTACCATATTCTAGTTTTATAGAAATAATTTTATTTGTCTCCCTTCCCGAAGATTTTTCGTGAACTGCGACTTTAGTGATCAAAAGGGCATCGAGGTGAAACGCCATATTATCGTCGGAACCACAGACAAATTAACTCTTCGTGAAACGGCCCTGGATCATTCAAACAATCTAGACTACCTGTATATGCGAGTAGAAATAATCTTGAATAACGTCATTAAACATTCAAAATCCAGTCAACGTGATGTAATATGTAAAAGTACATTTAGAAATATGGTTTCCAAAATTGTTTATCAACTTTGAAAATTTAATTTATTTTGAAAATGTGATTTCTATTTGAACATTGATCCACTAAAAATATGAATATTCGAGTTTAAGGAAACTTTCTATTATATCTGCCATGTTATCTGAGCCGAATTAGGCCCATAGTTGTGAAACTGGTAATTTACCACTGGCATCTTATTTGGTTATTTGGTAATCTCCGAGCCTTTAGTTCAGTGCAATCCGTACCTCCTTTACTTACCTCATACGGTTCTTAAAATTCCCGCGAAATTTACCCTTCTAAAAATGTTGATTTACTTCAAGAAAATATATGTCTTCGCGTTTGCTACTGATTTTATTCATTATATTTTATAAAATGTTTATTCCTAATGTTAGTAAGAATTCATTCGTAAAGAAAATATTAAGTAATTCGTAATAAACTGTTAAAAATAAGTGAATACTTAGGATTTTGCAAGGACTTCCGATCAGAAATTGTTTATGACACAGTTGCTATGCAGTTCGTTTTGAAGTGACATCATCCCTATATTCGTAATTTTCAACGTCTAATAAACGAATACCACATATCGATGTGATGTTTTAATCGATAAAATTGAATGTCTTACATATTTCTTTATCTTTTTCTCAGATAACAAGTTATGATATTGGTTAACTCGCCAGAAATTAACATAATCTTATTTGAAGCGTTTTTAGAAAATTTTGACACCGCCGTCTTGAAAACGTGTAGTAATGTTGAACCCAGTGATTATCGATCTTGACATTTTACAATTTGTTGCTCCGCGGAGATTTTACCTAAAAACACATCAAATACAACATTGATTACCAATTTCGACGGTAAAACCCTTTGTAAACGTTATGATTTATGTTATATTAAAGTTTTGTCGATGTTGATTACGCATTACATATCGAACTAATTTCTGAAGCTTTCTCAGATCGTGCCCGGGAATTTTAGAACTATTTTAACAACGTCATCAGAGAGGTAGTGAAGGTACGCAACGAACGAAATGGATTTTGAGAATGGTTATTTGGTGCATTTCAGCGACTAATATACACTAATAACTATAGCAAAATCCATTTTTAATTACAGGTTATTGAATTAACGTTTGTTGTGTTTAAATTGGAAAGACCTGGACTTAAAGGAACTTGCAAGTACGACTACGTTAGAATAAGAGATGGTGGTGAATCGATTAAAATATGTAATATACATAGATTCTATACTCGAAGATCTAAAGGCAATTGGTTATATATTGATTTCAAAAGTGATGGCATTAACCTTGAGAGAGGTTTCCATGCATCATACACTACAGTTCCTAAAGGTATGTTCCCTCAAGACACTCACACATATTATATCAAATAGTCCATGGGCTGCTCCAAACCGTTGTCCGGTATTCCGATCCGCCACAAAAATTGAATATACCGTTTGAAAGCACTGACTCCCACTTAAAAATTAAATATCTTATTTCGCTTTGATTGCAACTGTGGCTTTTACCTCTATGATGGAGTTACACAAGGAAGCCTTCTTAAGATAATATTTTTCAGTTTATACTTATATTTTTACCACTATTCTCTATCTTTGTGCATAGGAAGTTTTGGGTGATAATATTTTGCAAACTGCTCGATGAATCTATACAATGTAGAGTAAAATACGCCTAGGCATATATGTAAAATCTAGTTTACATTCAGAAATATGGAAATAACGTGGCTTTAAACGTGGTCACGTTGTGGGGTAGTGTGAATTTCGAAAATATTAAAAAGATGATCCCCACTGGTTGCAAATGTCTGTAATGGTAACAAATCTGTATGACGTATGTTTTAGTCTGACAACTAAAAACACCGTGTTATGCTTGAAAAAGGGGTAATGTTACATGTATAAAATGTACAGGGTGACAAAAACCCAGATAAATATCTACAATGGTTAAGGAATATGATGATAAACACATGAAAAGTCAATACAATGTCAATGTTAAGTCAATACAATCTTGCTAAAAATCATCATTTAAGTGAAATAAGCCACTGTTGCCGGATAAACGAAGCAAACGAAGTTCAATGTTGAGCATTTACTTTTGGAGGCTCTTGTATTTAGCAAAACTATTTAAAATTTATTTTTTGTGGGCCAACTCTGTGTCTAGCTTACTTACTTAAGTTTTAAAAGCAATATTAGGATAATATGTGATTTCTGATTATCTATTAAATTTAATAGATCATTATATTAGTGAATGTGTTTTTTTGCATTTAATTGACCTGAAATTCAATATTTTACTACTATTTGTGATAAGCAGTGAATATTGAATGAGTTTGCAAATTACCCATGTCCGTTGAGTTTAAACCAATCCCCCAGATCAACACCAATACCAAATTAAGGCTGGCTATGAATTTCAGACTAGAAGTGAAATCTCACACCTATTCTGATGACCGAACACACGCTAATAAAATATGTCTTTCTATTGTAGAGGATCCTGAGTGTGGTCACCCATTATATTTAAACAGTAGTCATGGAGATATCCACTCACCTGGATATTTGAAAGACTCTTGCGATAATATGTACCGCAATTCAGAAAATTGTACATGGGAGATTGATGTTGGCGACGGTATGGTAAGTATTCAATGGTATTTCAGTTTGAAGCATGTTTAAAGGCCACCATTGAGCAATAAAAAAGGGAAATAAAATCGTCAAAAAGATCCTTGGAAACACTTCAGTCAGATAGTCAGTTTAATATGATAAATTGTGCAAATATCAAGCCGAAAAAAATTATTCACTTAAGAACATCATGAGAAGTTCGGACATCTGTTTTGGTTCGCCTAGTTAGTTTTTAAATTACTTTTGTGAGAATAGATGGCTGTTTTCCTGGGTTTTGCCAGGAAAGTGAATCATTTGATATTCTATAACTTGTGTAATCGCCATCTTGTTTCGGAAATGATCGATCAACATTATCGAGAAAATTTGATAGATCAGACATTTTTAAATTTTTAAACGTAAGCGTCGATATGGCTCGTTCGAGGTGTTTTGCGGTCAAACGAAACTTTGAATACTGAATAATCTATTTGATATTTTTTATGAAAAGTAAGTTTTAATTTGGCTATAAATACTAAAAAATATGCATTGTCAGCCTTTAATGGAATATTGTTTTGGAAAGCTGTACAAAATATTGGACAAAAATGCATGACATAAAAATGTAACTAGAGAATACCAAGTATATAGTAGCCCGGACAGAATTGTTCAATGGTCACTTTTTCTTTAATAACTTTTTTAATTTTCAGTATTATCATAGTCTGATCACATATTTGAAAACTAGAGTAAAATTCTGACATACAAAAAAAATATTTAAGGGACATCTCTTAATTTATTGATATAATAGGCGTTCATAGTATGACTGACGCAAATACATAATTCATCATTTTGCCTCATATTTGTTCAAAATGGCGGCATATTTTGTGAATTTGAATGTTCAGTTGAAAGTTAATATTTAAAGATTGTCATAGGACTATAGGGCCATGCTGCCACTGTTACAATCCTGATGTAATGCAGCAGCAACTGACCATTCATCAAATACAAGAAATTAACTCCCTCCGAGGGTATAAATGAAATCAACTCTATTGAAATGTTCGGGGTTGTGTTCAAGAGGATTTGAAAAGGTGGCGCCCCAATGTGCGGGTTGTGATGAGAGTAGGTCCTCAAAATTGGAAAATTTGGACTGGAAATACTGGACGCAGAGAGAGGTACATACCTAAAAATAGGTTCATCAGATTCCCAGTACATTTGGGAACATCCAATTCTTATAGAATGACAGCTATCCATCTAGTTTTTTTCTGTAATGTGGGGTTAAGCACAGGAATATTTTAATTTTTTTCAGGAAATTCACAAATCGAGTTATATTTCTTTTTATTTATTATTTCATTGACAAGATATGCCATTTTCTTGTGTATGAACTAACAATACAGCCTCCAATCTGCCAATTTTAGCTTATAAACGAAATTTTAGAAATACTGGACGAAATAAAAATGTACTGGACGCAAGCCTGTTAATACCGGATGGCTTGCGTCCAGTACATTTTCATTTCGTCCTGTATTTTTTAAAATTTCTATATTTTTTCTATTTTTGATCATTTTAAAGCTACCGACTGGAAGCTGTATTCTTATTCAATACACAAGAAAATTGCATATCTTGTCAACGAAATGGTAAATGAAAAAAACCTGACTCGATTCGTCGACTCGACTCCTGGGAAAAAATCAAAGTATTTCCGTGCTTAACCCCACAGTACAAAACGTCTAGATGAATGACTGTCATTTTTATAAGAATAGTGTGTTCCTCAATGTACTGAGAATCTGATGAGCCTGTTTCTAGTTAAGGAAACACTGTAAAACGACCACAGGCTACCGAGTAAAATCACACCTACCTCTCTCTGGATCAAAAATGGAGGTCTGCGTCCAGTATCTCAGTTTGTACCAGACGGAAATACTGGACGCGTTTCTACCCCCTGATATGGCTAAGTCTTAGATTGCTTTATCATTGTTCTACAACTACGTGTAGTTACTTTGACGGGAAGTCAATGTAACAAAATGGATAAACTTCCTAGTTACGAGTTTTTTGTTTTCTCGATTTAAACCTACTTACAAGGGTCGTTTGAAAAGTTTTGCACGAATGCTTCTCAAGAGAAGAGATCTCATTATTTTTACATGACATTTCTTACGGAGAGAGCATCACCTAACTTATATTCATATCTGAAATTTCAGGACCATACACAATATACTTCTTGAGATACATTGACTCTAAAATGTGAACCAATGGTCTCATGGTCCAATATTTCATAAATTGATATGAGAACTTTGATTACGTCATAAAACCAGCTGATTTGTTCAAGATGTTTGAAGAGTATGTTTACGGCCATTCGTTGGCATTTCCAAAGAAAATAAGATGAGAAGTATTGACATAAGATTCATTTTTTGCCACGAGAACAATGCTACATATTGCTCAAATTTAAGTTGATAGTTTATATAAGTAAATTTGGGCATTTTTAGTGATATTGTGCTTCATATATTACTTATTTTCTCTTTCAAAATGAAATGGACAGTGTCGCCATCACCTTGGTTACCATGCCAACCATAAAATGTTAAGTAATACTCATACATACATGAAAACTTGACAGTGTAAGATAATAAGATAGGGGCACAAACCTACCAAATGTGAACAAGATTGGTCTGTCATTTTCATAATTAGATATATTTGTGCAAAACATGAAGAAGTCTTGTATAAGTCAAATTGCAGATTATAAGTTGGCACAAAGCTAGAAAATATAGTCTAGTTTTAATAAATTTCTTCGATTTGGAATTTGTTTTGTAAATGAAGTTGCAATTCATATATTTATCCCCTCGCTTTTGTTACATTGACGAAACTCGATTATATTACCAATGTAGGTTACTTTGACGACTTACGTCAATGTAACAAAAGCGATGGTCTAAATGCATGAATTACAGCTTTATTTGAAAATCAAATTCCAAACTGAGAGCATTTCTAAAAGCTAGACTATATTGTCTAACTTTGTGCCAAATGATACTCCGCAACATGACGTATACGTAAGTTTAAATCGAGAAAACAAAAAACTCGTATCCAGGAAGTGAATCCACTTTGTTACATCGACGTTCCGTCAAAGTAACTAGTTGTGGAACAGTGTTTATTGTATGTGTGTTTTACTTTATTTATATTTTAAAGGAAATTGAATTAATGTTCAATGAATTTGAAGTAGAATTTGGCCATGCCGAGTGTCATTATGACTTTGTGAAGCTCGATGATGGCCATCAAAGTATTAAGCTGTGCGGAGACAAAACATCCTACATGTATAGATCAACTGGATCTTGGCTGCGTGTTGACTTTTATAGTGGACCTGTGACAGTGATGAGGGGTTTCCATGCATCATATAGGGCAGTTCACTCCAGTAAATGTATGTGTTTCAATATAATACAAAATAAATTAAATAATGCTCGTAAAATTGTACTCAATTTAAAACCATACCGATGACTAAAAACCGAGTGGAATTCTCCAACGCAATATTTGCAATGGGGTATAATTTTAAAATTGTTCAGTTTTGATTATTCGCAGTTCATTTGTTCAGGTATGGCCGCCCGGAATTGGCAAAATATATGACTTGAGTGTCAAAAATAAAATGTAAAACTTCCCACCGTTCCATTGTCAAAAACATAAAACTGCGCAGGTGGATTACCTGAAATACCAATATGTAAATACTATATCTTCTTTTCGATGTGTTTTCTTTGCAATTGTAATCGGGTATGGTATTTTATCGCTAATAACTGTTTTTGCTCCGTTCTTTGATACGAGAAATACAATAAATAATATTCACAAAATGCAGTTCTAATCCAACATGTTATATAAACCTCACTATGATGTGTAAAACTAAACAAAGAAAGGACAAGGTGCAATTATTGGCAAATATCCCTATGGTCAAAATGAATCATTCGTAGGTGTTACATGAAGAATAAAATGTCATATAATACTTTGGAAAATATTAAAGTGCTCGGACACACATAAGCTGAGATAGGGATCATTTCGTTCAGTAAGGTTGTATTGACTTACATTGGGCTGTGCACCATTGACTTAACATGAGGATATCAGCAGATCCCAATAGAGGCCATTGGTTTCAATTGATTATCACAGAAATACCAAAAATACACTATGACCTGAATCGATTGCAAACTCAATAATTTCACAATACGACACAAATGGTTTATCTCATCAAATGTGCAAATATGAAGTTTGCAATCGATTCAGGTCATACTTAAAATTAAAAGATTGTACATTTTTTCATCATTTTTTCCCTACAAAATGGCTATAGAAAAATGCTCCAAAAACAACTTTTACACTTATCACATATCATATAAGTTTGTAAAACCAAAGATTATACTATTATATTTCATTATGTAGTAACATATTTGGATAAGATGCAGGGATGCGTAGGATGTAAATGGATTTTGACAGACACAAAAATACTTCCTGGTTTGGAATCTATGCCTCTACACTTCATGATTGACCCTAATAAGTGGCCTATACATCAATACAGTGCTGAATATAGGTCAACAAGATACTAGTGTGCATATAAATGTAATAATTGAAGCAGAATACTCATTTTGAAAAATCAGATGAATTATTTTTTTCCCATGGGGAGATCCCAATGGCGGGTGTATAAGGTCCTTTTTAGGAGCTCCAAATACATGTATCTCCATTTTAGGGGTCATCTAATAAAAACAAAACAATAAAAACGTCCTACTTTTCAAATATATAGAGTAAGCGGACACCGTTGTCCTTGAAATCATCTTTATTTCTAGTGTCTGACAACAATAGAACCACCCTCACAGAATCATGTACGAGACGACATCTGTACGAGAATGAAGGGGAAATATTCTCGCCTGGCGAAACATGCTTTCGTACATTCATAGTTAACATGGAATGCTCCTGGGATATCCATGCTCCGAAAGGAAAGGTAATGAACC